CCCAACTCTTTATATTTTTGTTTTTTTACCCTGATATAACAAGGCAATTCCCATAGTCCCAAGGACCTCGTTATAGTGAGGCTCCACTGTACTGTCTGCCTGCTTTACAATGGTCAGTGATTACAGTGATGAATATTTCTTTGCTTACAGTGGCTGAAGCTGTCCTCAGATGATGTGAAGGAACACATTCAAAAGATGGCTAAGAAGGGTCTCACTCCATCACAGATTGGTAAGTACAGTAGACCATTTCGGAACGTGTTGCTAGGTAAGGCAAGCTATAGTGTTTGTCCTACCTAGCAACAATTTTACTTCATAATTCTTGTTATCGTTCCGCATTAAATTCTTAGTGCGATCACTAGAATTTTTGTAGGGCAAAATCCATCAAAATCTCCACAATCGGATGATATTCAATTTTTATTTGGACATTGCAAATAGCATTCTGACTTATGAAATACAATTATTTATAACAGGTGATTGGTGTAATTTGTAATGAGGCACTTAAAAAAGATTTGTGCATTAAATTTTACTTCAGTATGGAAATGGTCTATTGCATTGATCAGATTCAGGATACTGTAGATAAAGTATGTACATGTATGTGAGCTAATAGAAATTGATTGTACTATCTGTCAATCAGTGTAGGATCAATTGTTAAGCTTCATCTTGCAAGCAAGCAAGTAAAAAATAAAATAAAATCATGTTTTCATGTTAATTTGATCTAAAATTTGAAGTGGGGGGGGGGGGGGGGGCATCAAATCAAAATTTGAACGGGGCATATGTATTTGAACGTGTATGTAATGTATGCCTGCTTAGGTTTCAAACCCCCATTTAATTCAGCCACTAATAAGGGCTACACACTAAATTTGGAGGAAGGGGGTCTGGGCTAAATATTTTATAGTCTGTATTTACCTGCCCTACATTAAAATTTTGGGGTTATGTCTTGGTCTTTGGGTACCCCTATGCCCTGGGTGCCTGTAGTGTCTGTAGAGCCGTGCGCTAATGAAGAATCTTGTCTCCGATCATGTAGGTGTGATGCTTCGTGATTCCTACGGAGTCGCCCAGGTGCGCTTCGTCACCGGCAACAAGATCCTAAGGATCCTGAAGGCCAAGGGTCTGGCCCCATCTCTCCCGGAGGACCTCTACTCTCTCATCAAGAAGGCCGTCGCCGTACGCAAGCATCTTGAGAGGAACCGCAAGGTGAGGAGGTGTAGTGGTTTAATCACTTGACAGGGAATGCAAAAGGTTGAGGGTTCAATCCTTCGTATGGCATGTACAGTTAAAGATAAACTTGAGTTCTGGTAAAAAAAAGAAAATGAATTCTCACAGAATCTAACGAAACTTACACTGAATGTTCAAGATTACAAATAAATGTCATGTGCCAAACAATTTTGGAAGAAAATGTATACTGGCTGAGTAATGAGCATAGAAAGATAAGGAAATCAGGGTAGTACTAGCCCCGACACCATGTGTGTTGTCCCATATACATCTTTCTGTGTAAGTGATTGTTACTTTCCCAAGACTCTGCCAAATTTATGACGATTTTGATGACTCAAGAACCTTGCATTACACACCATTACTTACATGCTATATGATCATCTTTTCTGATCCATTCCACACCTTTTCTTTCACAATGCAATCGCATTACCCGAACTCAAGTTTATCTTTAACGACTAAATTATTTTGTAACTCGAGGATGATGGGTGGAGTGCTTGAGTTAGGGCCTTTGTTGAATACTTTAAAGTAGATATTCATTGATTTTAAAAACTAACTTTATTTTCATTATTGCAAATTTGAAACTTTGATTCGACAAGGTTATCAAAATTTGATGCTTGGAAAAATTTAAAGTAATGATTATTATAAATTACAAAACGCTTAAATACAGCCCCGACATACCACCTGAAGAGCTCTCGGAACGCTGCTGAGATGTGTGAGATCACAGTATGGACATGATTTGCACAAACAGACAATGTCCCATGACATCTCACACATTTTCAGTGCCTGTGTTTTCATCTTCTCTCTCTTACTTCACTACCGTCAGGCTAAATGTATAATCTATTGCCTCACTCTAAACCCTGCGCATGTTTTTATTTTGATGACAAATGCAGCGATACAGAAATAAAGGAATCTGTCGCTTGTAAATAAAATAAGACGCCATTGTATATTCAGCTGCACACACCGCGGTATGTTTTGCGTTTCAAGGGGGAACAAATGCCGTCCTTAATATCATTCCAGGGTTTTTATGCCTCCGTTACGAAGTAGCCGGAGGCATTATGTTTTCGGGTTGTCCGTCCGTCCGTACGTACGTCTGTACTCACCGTTCTCGTGATCGCGTTATCTGAAGAACCGATTGATGGATTCCTGCCAAACTTTGGTCATGTATGTATCTTGCAGATCTGATGAACTGATTAGATTTTGGGGTCACGAGGTCAAAGGTCAAAGGTCACAGGGCTCATTATGTATGCAAAAACAGCTCGTGATCGCATTATCTGAAGAACCGATTGATGGATTCCTGCCAAACTTAGGTCATGTATGTTACTTGCAGAGCCGATGAACTGATTAAATTTTGGCGTTACGAGGTCAAAGGTCAAAGGTCACAGCGCACATTATGTATGCAAAAATAGCTTGTGATCGTATTATCATTAGAACAGATTGATGGATTCTTGCCAAACTTAGATCATTTATGTATCCTGCAGAGCCGATGAACTGAGTAGATTCTTGGTTCATAAGGTCAAAGGTCAAAGGTCATGGGCTCATTATGTATGCAAAAATAGCTTGTGAACGCATTCTCATTAGAACTGACACATGGATTACTATTTAACTCGGGACATCTTGCAGAGCCAATGAACTGAGTAGAATTTAGGGTCATGAGGTCAAAGATCAAAGGGTCATATATGTATATGACAAATTGCTTGTAATCACGATATTCTGAGAACCTGTTAATGGATTACAATTGAACTTGAATTTGAAAAATTTCTTCTGTTTTGGTTTGTAAAATTGCTCTATGACGGAGGCATCATTTTCGACTGCGTGCAGTTGAAGTTCCATCTAGTTTCAATTTGAAAGTCTGGTTTCTTTGATTGTTAAATAACCCCTATCCTGTGTATTTACAAGCAAAAGATTTTGGTTATCAAAATTGGGTCATATCCCTTTTTGAATGGTTTGACATGCCATTACATTTATATACTCTGAACTCATTATAATTTGACAAATAATAGCTTTGCAATCATGTTCATTCTTAACTTTCAAAATTTGCATCTCTGTGGCACTGTACTTGTTGTAGCTACTTGCTCCCTCTATATAGAAAACAATGCCTAATCGGTGAGCATTGGTCCCCCATGATCCTCTTCTTATGTTAGTTGAGAGCTGAGTTGATAAGATAGCCACCTGTCAGTGACCTCCCTGGATGGTCTAATCCCTCCTAGCCAAACTGGTACGGATGGCCTTTAATCCAAATTTCTTTGTTTTCTTGTTGTCTATAGGACAGAGACTCCAAGTTCCGTCTGATTCTGATCGAGAGCAGGATCCACAGACTGGCCCGATACTACAAGACCAAGCGTATCCTTCCACCCAACTGGAAATAGTAAGTCTTGCAAGCCGTTTCCAACTTTCCATGTTGAAATATTCTTTTGTTACACTCCTTATGAATGACACATTTAATTATTATCAACAGAATTATATACAAAGGGATGTTGATAACTTAATAAACAAAAAATGTACAAAATAAATATACATGTGTAGTGTAAACAAAAAAAAAAAAAAATACAAAGAGTTATACATTGCGTCAGGAGGCATACACATTTGATATCAAAGAGATAAGAAAGGAGAGATGGAGTAGGCAGATAGCTGAGAAGAGGGACATAGAGAAAAAAGAGAGGAAGGGGGAATATAATAGACCAGTTCACGGTTAGCACATGTCCCAAATGACCCTGAGTATCCACAGATCTTCAGAACATGAAGAGGTCCCACTTTGTACATTTTGAAATAATCACTCCTACAGCGATGGGGGTGCTACATAAATACCCTTGTTTCCCTCTTTTCAAAGAATACTTCCACATACCTACCAACCACCCCGATTTAGGCGGAGTTCCTCCGCATTTTTCATACCAACTCCGAATTCCGAGTGCATGCCTCAAAACTCCGATTTTTTAAAATTTAATTTTTATTTATTTATTTATTTATTTATTTATTTATTTATTTTTTATTTTTTTTTTTAGAGTGAAATGCACTTGGAGAGTATATAACTGTTATGTTTGTATTTTGAAATGTAAAGCGCCTTGAGCATGTTCATGTAAAGGCGCTCAATAAATACCAATATGTATGTATGTATGTATGTATAAGACTAAAGCATAACACAGCACTGATAACCAGATCACGCCGACGCGCTCATAGAAGATATACACAGCGACATGGAAAAAAAAATTGACCCTAAAGTCCTGTGTACCCCCCCCCCCCCCCCCCCCCAATCTACGGGCTACTACCCCAATCCTTCGGTGGTTCATAAATGAATAATGATTATTGATTACATAATTTTCATGAGCTCGTATCCAGTATTTTTGTCTGCGTGTATTTCACATTTTGGTCTACAATGACCTTTATCTGCTCATGCTCAGACTACAACCGTGAACTGGTTTATTGTGCTGCTATTTCTGATCATTAATCTTGTTTTTCTTGTTCTCTTTCACTCTCCTTCTCTCCCGCAGCGAATCATCAACGGCCTCTGCCCTCTTGGCTTAAGGACATGACCTTGTGATGACCTTGAGTGTAGGAGCTAAGACTATGTACAGGTAGAAATAAAAACCAGATCAAGATCGAATGGTTACATCTCTGACTTCTCGTGTTCTCTTCATTTATCGTCTCGTGTCTCGTGTGCTGGCAAGCTTGCCTGTGAAGTTGTTATAACTGGTGATGTTTATGCTGGAGTCGTTTTGGTTTGTGAAGCGAGCTCCAACTGTAAGGATCAGAGCCTGGATTCATTTTCTCTCATATGATACACTAATTTCTACATGTGGGAAGGTACATACCTAAAACTTAGCTTGTCCAAGTAAAATATAAAAAGGGGGGGGGGGGTGTCACCTTTTAAACTAGTAAATAGTAAAAGTAGTAGTTTTTTCCATTTAAAGGTGAAATCTGGTAGTCCATCCTGATATTTGGTTGGTTTAAAAAAATCAGAAAAATGAGAGAAAAAATGAAAGTGAAAGTTTGATCAATATTCAATTAAAAACGGGAAAGTTATTACAATTTTAAGTTGTCGTCAGTGAAACACAAATTTGCATCTTGCAAGCTCCTCTCCAATTTGCTCTAAACATACCATTTCATGAAATTCAATTTTCTCAGTTATTGATTACTGAATAGCACCCCAGAACAAACATATTTGCAACAATTAGATTTAGGGGAATGTATGGTTGCAAATTTTCATATTGGCAAATTCAAATTTTGTAGGTTTTCATGTAAAACAGAGGGACATTTTCCTGAAATGCACTAAATTAAATTGTCAACCCCCCCCCCCCCCCCCAATATTGCAAATAAGTGATCAAACAATCGAGTAGTTCATGTAACTTTATATCATTTGAGAGAGGATGAGAATAAAAGACAGTGCATGGTGATTCTGAAATCGTAATTAAAGTTACAAGACTTCAATGTGAGAATTGTATTGATGATGGTAACGATTATGGTGGTGGTGATTTTTGTGATGTTGATTATGATGGTGATGCTGATAATGCTGCTGATGGTGGTAATGATGATTATTGTGATGATGGGGATTATGACACTGATGGTTATGGTAATGATGATTATTGTGATGATGGGGATTATGATACTGATGCTGATGGTGGTAATGATGATTATTGTGATGATGGGGATTATGATACTGATGCTGATGGTGGTAATGATGATTATTGTGATGATGGGGATTATGACACTGATGGTTATGGTGGTATGATTATTGTGATGATGGGGATTATGACACTGATGGTTATGGTAATGATGATTATTGTGATGATGGGGATTATGATACTGATGCTGATGGTGGTAATGATGATTATTGTGATGATGGGGATTATGATACTGATGCTGATGGTGGTAATGATGATTATTGTGATGATGGGGATTATGACACTGATGGTTATGGTGGTATGATTATTGTGATGATGGGGATTATGACACTGATGGTTATGGTAATGATGATTATTGTGATGATGGGGATTATGATACTGATGCTGATGGTGGTAATGATGATTATTGTGATGATGGGGATTATGATACTGATGCTGATGGTGGTAATGATGATTATTATGATCATGGGGATTATGATGCTGATGGTGGTAATGATGATTATTATGATGATGGGGATTATGATACAGATGGTTATGGTGGTTATGATTATTGTGATGATGGTGATTATGATACAGATGGTTATGGTGGTTATGATTATTGTGATGATGGGGATTATGATACTGATGGTTATGGTGGTTATGATTATTGTGATGATGGTGATTATGATACAGATGGTTATGGTGGTTATGATTATTGTGATGATGGGGATTATGATACAGATGGTTATGGTGGTTATGATTATTGTGATGATGGGGATTATGATACTGATGGTTATGGTGGTTATGATTATTGTGATGATGGGGATTATGATACAGATGGTTATGGTGGTTATGATTATTGTGATGATGGGGATTATGATACAGATGGTTATGGTGGTTATGATTATTATGATGATGGGGATTATGATACTGATGGTTATGGTGGTTATGATTATTGTGATGATGGGGATTATGATACAGATGGTTATGGTGGTTATGATTATTATGATGATGGGGATTATGATACAGATGGTTATGGTGGTTATGATTATTGTGATGATGGGGATTATGATACTGATGGTTATGGTGGTTATGATTATTATGATGATGGGGATTATGATACAGATGGTTATGGTGGTTATGATTATTGTGATGATGGGGATTATGATACAGATGGTTATGGTGGTTATGATTATTGTTATGATGGGGATTATGATACAGATGGTTATGGTGGTTATGATTATTGTGATGATGGGGATTATGATACAGATGGTTATGGTGGTTATGATTATTATGATGATGGGGATTATGATACTGATGGTTATGGTGGTTATGATTATTGTGATGATGGGGATTATGATACAGATGGTTATGGTGGTTATGATTATTGTTATGATGGGGATTATGATACAGATGGTTATGGTGGTTATGATTATTGTGATGATGGGGATTATGATACAGATGGTTATGGTGGTTAAGATTATTGTGATGATGGGGATTATGATACTGATGGTTATGGTGGTTATGATTATTGTTATGATGGGGATTATGATACAGATGGTTATGGTGGTAATGATGATCATTGTGATGATGGGGATTATGATACAGATGGTTATGGTGGTTATGATTATTGTGATGATGGGGATTATGATACAGATGGTTATGGTGGTTATGATTATTGTGATGATGGGGATTATGATACTGATGGTTATGGTGGTGGTGATTATGGTGACAGTGATGATGAGAGGAACAGGGGACACGTATTAGAAAAGAAAAGGAGCATGTATCGAAGTACAAGGCTAATCATCAGGTGAACATGGGGCACTTCTTACTCCTAAAACAAAGAGGCAAGCACTGTCATATCAAGCATATCATTGTTGAAAGGGTAATTATCAGAGGTGGAAAGGGCACTTATCGCATCTGAAAAGTGGCACTGACCATATATGAAAGGAGGCACTAATAATAAAGGGAAATGTGCATTTGTTGAAAGGAAAAGGGCACCGATCAGGTTTTAATAGGGGCATTTATCTGAGGTGAAAGGGGGCTTTTATTAAAATGAAACGGGGTAATTATGAGAAGGGGGAGGGGCACTTATAAGAAGGAAAAAGAGCATTTATTAGGAAGGAATAGGGGACGTGTCAAAATAAAAAGGGGCATTTGAGATGAAAAGAGCACTTATCAGGAGGGGGAGGGCACTTGTCCAATTAAAACGAGTATCTCTCAGAATTGAATAGGGTCATTTACAAGAAAAGAAAAGGGGCACTTATGAGAATGAAAAGGAACTATATTCATAGATGAAAAGTGGCATTTATGAGAAGGGAAAGGGGCTCTTTATAAAAAGGAGAGGGGGCACATGGAAAAATATAAGGTGTGCTTATCCGAGTTTAAAAGGTGTAGTTATTAAAAGGAGAAGGGGCACTTTTTTACAAAGGAAAAGGGGAACTTGTCAAAGCAAAAGCTAGGGTAACCTCTCTGATTTGAATGCGGCAATAATTATCATAGGTGAATGGGGTGCTTATTAAAAGTGAAAAGGGGCGCTTCTCGTACCTGAAAAGGGGAATTTACTTGAGATTAAAAAAGGCACATAATGAGAATGGAAAATGGACACGTATTGCAAATGAAAATGGGAACTTGTCAAAGAAAAAGGGGTACGTGTCAAAATAAAAGGGGCACTTATCAGAGGTGGAAAGGGGAAGGGGCACTTTTACAAATTAATAGGGGCAGTTTTCAAAGTAAAGGGTGTACTTTTCCCAGGTAAAAAGGGGCACTTTTTTTGGTACTTGGAAAAGTGGGGGGGGGGGCCCTATGACTCCCCACCCCCCCCCCCCCCCCGGAACGCCGTCTCTGGACGACCATGATGATGATCGATGATTAGTCTGCAGGCACAAACCCTGGTCAGTCGTAAAAGTGAGTCTGCGCTATAAGACTACCATAGGCCATGTACTGTAGCTGCTCCTTCACATATTGACACAACCAGTAGGTAGCTGGGCTAGACTTCTCTCAAGGCACAATGATTTTTTGATTAAGTGTCAGATTAGGGTCTGTGCCTGCAGACTAATCGATGATGGTGATTATGCTGCTGCTACTGCTGATGATGATGATGTTGATAATGTAAAAGTTCATTGGTATGGGGTCATGAATTTGGTTCAAATGAACATATTGGAAACATATGCGATCCTACAATATTCAGTGATCGTTGGCCGGTTCAAATCAAGTCTAAAGTTATGAAATTATAGATAATCCCTTTACAAAAAAAACATGGTATAGTACCATGGTAGTACCATGGTAATACCATGGTAGTGCCATAGTATGGTACTGTACCATAGTACACGGTATTTTGGCCACGGTACATAACCATGGTACTACCATGGTAGTACCACGACAATTATTACGGTAGTACCACGGTAGTACCATGGAATAGTTCCAACGAGTATACTACCACGGTACTGTACCATATACTGGACCACAATAATACCGTGGTATACCATGGTACCGTACCATGGTAGTATACCACGGTACTGTACCATGGTAATACCGTGGTACTACCACGGTACTGTACCACAATTATACCGTGGTATACCATGGTACTGTACCACGGTAGCATACCATGGTACACTACCACGGTACTGTACCACGGTAGTATACCACGGTACTGTACCATGGTAACATCGTGGTACTACCGTGGTACTGTATCACGGTAGTATCATGGTTCTCCCGTACCTAGGTTGCCATGGTACCTGTACTACAATGTTACTGTACGTACTTTGTCGCCTTTCCATTCTGCATGTTGCTAAATAAAAAGATAGGATTGGTTACATTATTGATATTTTAAAAATCATTTACAAACAATAAATTATTTCAAAGGAAATCAGATTTTTTAAAAGCTTTGGTATGTAGGTCTAGGAATGTTGATAAATCCAGATTAAGTGAAGCAATTTTATGCTCATCTTTACTGGTAAATTGTTACTGTTTTCCTATACTAGTGTACTTTGGAAAAACTATGTGTCTCTGACAATATTTTGCATCTAACATGATTTATTTAAAACACTTTTGCCAATTAATTACTGAATGCTCATTTTCATCTCATTCCAAGCGCCAATTCTCTCTAATTCTCTCTCTCTCTCTCTCTCTCTCTCTCTATTTATACTGTATATAATCATTCTCACTTATTAATTGATTCATCTGTCAGAATCATATAGTACAATCACAACTACAATTTAATGAAAGAAATCTACAAAATAACTATATGCAGAGAAAATTTTATTACTAACAAAGATAAACAAATAATAACTGTACAAAATATTCATATAATCAAAGACAAATTAAGTAATATCTTTCTTTTTCAAAAATGAATATTCATTATTTACAAACATAAGTACAAATAATGAAATACATGTCTATGATTCATATACAATCCATTTGTGTAAGGCAATAGCAAAACCATGTCATGAAACTGGAAAATTTTATCCCCTTTTAACCAAATGCCCAAATCTGGACATTTTCAAATATTTACAAATATAAATATATACAAATAATGAAAAACATATGACGATACAAATACAATGATAGAGTCAGCCAATAGCAATACCATGTCTTGAAAACCGGACATTTTTATCCCCTTTGACCATATACCAAAACCGGAAAATTTTATCCCCTTTGACCATATACCAAAACCGGAAATTTTTATCCCCTTTGACCATATACCAAAACCGGAAAATTTTATCCCCTTTGACCAATTGCCAAAACCGGAAATTTTTATCTCCTTTGACCAAATGCCAAAACCGGAAAATTTTATCCCCTTTGAACAAATGCCAAACCGGAAATTTTTATCCCCTTTGACCCAAATGCCTAAACCATTCCACGACATTTTGGTCTTCCTCTTCTCCTCAAAAGGGACTTTTAGATTTGCGTGGACGTGGACGTGTTACGTCCTTTTAAGGCACTGGCAATCACATGTGACGTCCTTTTAAGCACTGGCAGTGCCTTAAAAGGAGGTCACACGTTGCAGTCCACGTTCTCATCGTGCAAATCTAAAAGTCCCTAATATTGATTTACTGGTCGAGGTTCATTATTTGCTGACAACGAAAAACTTCTCCAGGCCATGATCATGTTTCTGCCCTGGCCCGATCGCCTCCAGCTCCAGCAGATATGGCGCGGCAGCGTGCACACGCACCGCTACTAACGGCGCAGTACAGGCCTATAACCACTGCTGAGTCGGTAATAATAGGCCTACTCATAAAACGAGAAATCTTGCACGCTAATCTTAGTTCCATTTCATTGGTTTAAGGTTTGAAAATTGAAACTCAATATTGTGTTAAAGTTATAACAGAAAAGATTATCTTTATTTTATAATTCCACCGGGGCGATTTTTAATTTTGCAATCGCCCCCGTGAGCAACCTGACGGGGGCGATTTTGTAGCTCACGGGGGCGAATCGCCCACCGCCCCCGTGTATTTTGAGCGCTGGGGCCAAGTCACTTTGATGATTCCAGAACCTTGCAGTACACACCAATACTTTTACGCTAGATGAAAAACCTTTCTGATCGATTTCTCACCGCTTCTGTCACAATGCAATTGCATGACCAGAACTCAACTTTATCTTTAATACCTATTGTTAAGAGGGGATGAATGAATAGATTCCCCCCTGAACAATAGGTACTACGTATCGATCTATATGGCAACCGGGGACATGGCCAAATTTCTTTGTGTTACGTTTATCTAGCGCTGAAGACCGTACAGGAGAAAGGATAGAAATGCACGTATTAACAAAAAGATATACTCCACTGCACCAAATGTTGATATTTTTGGGGTTGCCGTTTTCTCTTCACAATCATCATGAGGATGTCGACGAGGAGAGCACGAAGATAGTATATTTAATAATAATAATAATAATGATAGCTAGTTATTATATAGCGCTTTTCACGACCGATAATGTTGACAACGACACAGATGAGGATATAGCAATAAATAAATAAAAAATAAACATAATAGTACTAATATTATTATCAATCGGACGTTAGTCTTATTCTAGCACAAAACAAGATAATATTACTAATGTCCTGACAGTTTAAACGAAAATATAAAACACTATACATTACAAAAAGATTCACTGCTTGAGAGACATGTGTAAAATCAGACACATTCAAGTTTCAAGAGTGAAATGATTTTATTTTTCATGCAAAACATATAATTGAATGAAATTGCAATGTTATTTGCCATTCAATATAAGTGTTTCACAATAATATACAATGAAACAAGACAAATATAACAGTAATGACACGAGAAAAGAAGAACTAAATAGAAGCAGGGCTTGTTGAAGTTTCAGTTCCTCAAGCCCCTTTCACACCGGATCTGCGTAGAGTTGCGTAGTGTGGCGTACCGAGTACGCCGAAGTTAGGCTGCGTATTTATGAAAAAATGATGCTTCGGCGTAGTCCCTGCGTAGGTTATGTGTAGGCTGGCGTACGATGGCGTATGATTACGTACCATGTGCGTAGGCACCGCGTACATACGGCGTATGCAATTGGCGTACATATGCGTACGCTTGCGTATGACAGGCGTAGGGTTGCGTACGATTACGTAGGACTGGCGTAGAGTTGCTTAAAGTTGCGTACGGTTGCTTACTGTGTGCGAAAGCGCCGTGTAAAATGCAATAGACGCTAGTTTTCTTTTTTATTTCAACAGCCTGAGATGTCAAAATCACAAATTGAATAAACCATAACAAAACTAAACATGTCAGTCTGGAATACCTTGTAATAGTACCAAAAAAAATTACAAGCACGAATACAAAATAAAGTCTAAGAAACACCTTTTCTTCATGAAAAGAATAAATGTGAGAAAACACACATGTAAACAAAAATATAATTTCCCTTCAAAATAATTAAAAATCCCTGACAGGTATTCTTGTAAATACTACAACTTTAATGCACTAATCTACAGTTTTGTATAACACGAAGAGTTACAAGCACACTCCAGCTGACAATCTGGATTTATAAAATCTTTTACATGTGGTATCACAACTATAACTTATCATGAGGTAATGAATACTATAATAATTATATCAGTTTTAAAATAGTGATATTTAAAAGAATTGTACATGTTAATAGACATGAACATAACTACCGTATAACCGTTATCATGGAGTAATAATTCCAGTAATAATGACTGTTGAAAAAACTCTGACATTCAAACTCCTGCTAACACGGTGAAATTTAAACTGTGAAGTTTAAATGAAAATAACTTATACAAAATACATTACTTTAACCCAGGGGCGTACGCAGGGGGGGGGGGGGGGTTTGGGGGTTCAAACCCCCCCTTTGGTATTTTTATGTATGTAAACCCCCCCTAAAAAAACCTAAAACCCCCCCCCCCCCCCCTTTGGTTTTTTTTTATTTTTTTTATTATTATTATTAAAAAAAAAAAAAATAAATAAAAAATAAAAACATTATACCCACTGCTAACCTAAATAAGGTGACCTTACCCCCCCCCCCCAACGACAAAAAATGTCAAATTATGAAATTTCGAGACCAAAAAAAAAAAAAAAAATGTGTCCGCTTTGTTTTGTATAACACGAAGAGTTACAAGCACACTCCAGCTGACAATCTGGATTTATAAAATCTTTTACATGTGGTATCACAACTATAACTTATCATGAGGTAATGAATACTATAATAATTATATCAGTTTTAAAATAGTGATATTTAAAAGAATTGTACATGTTAATAGACATGAACATAACTACCGTATAACCTTTATCATGGAGTAATAATTCCAGTAATAATGACTGTTGAAAAAACTCTGACATTCAAACTCCTGCTAACACGGTGAAATTTAAACTGTGAAGTTTAAATGAAAATAACTTATACAAAATACATTACTTTAACCCAGGGGCGTACGCAGGGGGGGGGGGGGGTTTGGGGGGTTCAAACCCCCCTTTGGTATTTTTATGTATGTAAACCCCCCCTAAAAAAACCTAAAACCCCCCCCCCCCCCCCTTTGGTTTTTTTTTTTTTTTTTTTTTATTATTATTAAAAAAAAAATAAAAATAAAAAAATAAAAACATTATACCCACTGCTAACCTAAATAAGGTGACCTTACCCCCCCCCCCCCAACGACAAAAAATGTCAAATTATGAAATTTCGAGACCAAAAAAAAAAAAAAAATGTGTCCGCTTACCCCCCCCCCCCCCCCCCCCCCCCCCCCCCCCCCCCCCCCCCCACTGAGCGACTTTTCGGCTGGCTGAGTCGTTGCGATTTTTTTTTACCTCAAAAAAAAAAAAAAAAAAGTGTCCGCTTACCCCCCCCCCCCCCCACTGAGCGACTTTTCGGCCGGCGCGATTTTCAAATTTTCGGGAGCAAAATATTTTAAACCCCCCCCCCCCCTTGAAAAAATCCTGCGTACGCCCCTGCTTTAACCGAATCATGAAGTAATGATTACTAAAAACTGAGAATAAACTCCTGCTGACACTCTGAAAATTAAAGTGTGTGTTTAAACAAGAACTTGACATGTTATTACACATGGACATAATCACACGATACATGTTATCGTTAATTAAAAATCGCAGGCAGGAACAATAACAGTCTATTTCAACACCCTGGCCTGAAACACTCAACACTACGCAACGCTACGTATAGGCCCGGTGTGAAACCCCCTTCAGAGTATGGTCACAATACGTCTTGAAAACAAACTATACATAGAAAATCAATAAGTTGTGAAGCTCGGCAGGAAAATCAATGGTTGATGCTTTTTGTGTGTCGTTCCAGAAAAGTTGGTAGTATCGGCGTCAAATCATACTAAACTTGGTGTTTAATTCGAAACATTGGTGTAGCTACGTGGAGCAAAAGAGAGTAACCATGAGAGCTATGAGTGGAAAGGAAATTATATCATTTTGCCTAGCAGCGTTTACGTGTTTTTCAATTGGTGGATTTTACAGATTAGATCTTATTCGCTACGACCAGAACGATATACAAATCGCACCCCCGATTGCTCCACACTGGTTGATACGGAATGCTAGCGGAGTAAGAAACAACCTGCTGGAACCAGAAGTCAACGTGGAGAGTTCTTCCCATCTTCAAAATGAAACATTGCAATCTGAAAATAGGCCACTTTGTTACCGTCAGGTTCAGATATGGAAAGGCAGCACGAGCCCCCAAATCCCGGAAAAATCTAAATGCCCAGGGCTTGAATGTGGAATTAGTTTTGTCCAGGACAAAAGTTACAAGACCATGGTGAAAAGTGACGCTATAGTTTTCTATCATAGATCGCATTGGGATTGGACAGAGATGCAGAGGAGACGCCCATTAAACCAAGCCTGGGTTTTCTATTCCTTAGAGAGTCCTCGACACACAGGCGGAAATGCAGTACCACCCAGTAAATATGACCGCATATACAACTACACGATATCGTACAGGCCATCGTCAACGATACTTGGTCCGTATGGTCTTTATGATAAGACCCTACCGCAGATTTCTTCTCATGGAAATCGAAATTGGGCCAAGGAGAAAACTGGATTAGTGGCCTGGGCTGCATCAAATTGCGGTACAGGTTCTTGGAGGCGTTATGAATTTGTTAAAAAACTCGCGAAGCACGTCAGCGTCGACATGTATGGAGGTTGTGGAAACATAAAGTGCCCTAAGAACTCAGATGACTGCTGGAAGCGCATTAGGAGTCATAAGTTCTACCTGGCAGTGGAAAACAGCGAATGCAGGGACTACATCACAGAAAAGTTCTGGTGGAATTCTCTCCTCCATGACATTGTACCCATCGTCTATGGCCCTCCACGGGAAGATTATGAGCGCGTTGCGCCCCCAAATTCATTTATACATCTACAGGATTTTAAAAATTTTGGTGAACTCGTCGATTATATACATCTTCTTGATTCAAATGATACCTTGTACAATTCATATTTTGAATGGAAGCGAGACGGGTCAATACGGAGGATGGCAAAAAGCAACATTCTAATTGCACCATTTATGTGTAAAGTAGTCGCGAAAGTATTGGATCATGAAAAGAAATTAACCGGTCGTTACAAGGGAGAGTACCAGGGAGAGGAAAAGGAGCATCCTTCCATACACGATTTCTGGTCAAACTCTTGCATTAAACCAACTGGCTTCCCACATAATTTCTAAAATGTGAGGAACGACGGTTTCTAGATTTAATCTCCAATTTTTGATATTTTTAAAAGTCAATTCAACCTTTGTTATAAATGTATGTGAAAGCAAAAATGAAAAAAAAAAAAAACAGGGGGGGGGGGGGAAACAACAGAATTTTAGAAATTAATCAGACGAATTCCAAAAACGGGACATCGATTTATTTTATTCAGGCATAGAATTTATCTTACTAAGGAGTGGTCCGTTCGATAACCCGGACAAAACATTACATTTTTGAACAAATGAAAGAAGTTCTGCAGATAAAAAAAGAGAAATTAAGTGTACCTTGATTAAAAAGGTTTGATTGACGCCATGCATACAATTTTAAAGCTGGGCATTTGATTCTTCGGGGATCACATAAATATTAATCATGGTTCATTGCACTAACCTGTTAAATCGCTTTGCCCGGGTCTACATTGTAGTTAATGTAAGTCACTATCAGGATTTGGATATTGTACTTAGTACTTTGGATATTGTAATTCCAAACACCGCAAATAATGGTATTGGGAGTCTCTCATATCCATACAAATATTTGATAGTCTGTATTTAGCTAATGTAACAATGTGACGGTATCATATTCGTAAAAGTGTCAAGTTTAAGTCTACAATATGATAATGGAACCGTATCTTTTAAAAATAAAAGCTTCTTCCCATCAGTTAGACTTGTTACAAGAAAGATAGCATTCATCTACCTACTCATCCCCTTTGTAACTCATGCTTTACATCCGGTACAAAATGGATACCCTGAATAACACACATGACATATTGTTTTGATTTGTTGTATTACATAAAATACATCTTGTCTTTTGCGACTATCACCTAGGTCACTAAAATTCATGGGCACAAACATAATATTACCCTGCATCATACATTAGTCTGTTTAGGAGGGGAAAGAAACAAAATTAATTTCAAACAAAGTCGAACCATTGATATTGTATCATTACAAATAGCTGTTATTTTTAATGTCATTTTATGTTACTAAAAAGCATTTTTCACGTTTTACCGAGTAATAGAAATATAATTACTGGAAATGAATTGAATTGAAGTGGAAATTCATGATGTTTAGTTTTCGAAAGTAGTTGTTATCATTTTTATCTTGGTTTTACTTCCTTATCTGGTTGAAAAGGCTCGAATTTATTCTCATATCTCCTTTAAAGGGCCATTGCCATCCAAATGCAAGTTTATTCCTGCTGGTGTGTATAGTCCTGCATACAAATCATATTTTGATATGTAAAGTTCCGAATCCGTTTCATAGATTATAAAATATTTTTTGAAATATTTTTTTCTTCAAACTTGCTAAGCTCCACCCTAAAATTCCTCCAGATCTCATTCCCCTTGTGATATCATTTGTCAGTCATCAAGGAGCTTACTTGAGAAATTGGAATGTAACTTTGTCAAAGTTGACCGCCTGTTACAATACGTAATACAATAGCAACATAAAAGTGGCCATGATGATGTATTGTGAATGTATGAAAGGATGCAATTCTATTATCAGCGTGTGCTTAGCTGGAGAAATTTACATCCCATTGTCTATTGTAGAATATTTGTTTTAGCCGACTGTTAAGTCTGACAGAGCAACTTATATGTATTCCACTTTCTCAAGTTAGCTCATTGATGACTGACAGATGATGTCGCAAGAGGAATGAGATCTGGAAGATTTTTTAGGGTGAAGCTTAGCAAGTTTGAAAACAAATATTTCAAAAATTATTTTAACATTTATGGAGTATATTCAAAAGTTTAAATATTGAAATATGAGTTGAATGCAGGACGGCACACCAAGAGGAATAAACTTGTACTTGGATGGCAGGGGCGCTTTAACCTCGAGCGCTGTAATGACAGCCATGCTAAATCAGGGGTATTAATCGTGGACGAGTGGATATGTGAACGGACTGTGGATCACAATGTCCGCGGTTCAAGTCCCACGGCGGCACTAATGTCCTTTGACAAGACATTGATCTACATTTGCCACTCTCCACCCAGGTGTTAAATGGGTACCCGGTAGGATGCGAAAGTTAATGTGCTTAGATTAGCAAATGTGCGCTTGTAAAAATGACGCCTGGCTGGGATGCTCCCCAGGGAGTGGAGAATGTGCATGCATTGTGTGCGGGTAAGCCTGAATCAGATGACCGGGGTAATACACTGTCGCTCATATAGTTGGAATATTTATGTTTTACCCCAATTTATGGAATTATTTTAAAAATAATTTAAAAATAATAGATCTAGATGATAGTATACTTTCTCAGATTTTATTGAATAATAATTTGCCAATGTCTGCTTTGCGTGACTGCTAAAGCATGTGTATGCTACTATGCTTATCAACTAGGGGACCCACGCCCTTAAGTCATTAATGACAGTAATGAGGATTAATGCCCCACAAAAGGGCGCTAATATAGCACATCGACACGGTTTTGATCCTGGGGCTCCACAGTTACGAGGCCATTGCTTCGTCACTGAACCATGACTGTACGCAGCGGGGGCTAGGGTAGGAGGCAGTTTCCATAAATTAAAAAAAAAACAGAAAATGCAATAAATTTTTAATAATTTATTGCATGTTACCCCGGTCCCCAACATAAAAAAAAATCCTCTGGACGGCCATGCATTATGGCTCCAGGCATGGAAACACAGAGGATTTTTCTATGTTGGGAACCGGGGTAAAATGCAATAAATTATTGAAAATTTATTGCATTTTCTTTGTTTTTTATAGGGAGAACAGTGTCGACTGATGAGGCTTCCCTGGGTAAACAACACATGCTATTAGTATTATCATTATTATTATTGATTTATTCTTATTATAATCAAAGTGATTATTTTTTAATATTGTTATTATTAGGCCTACATAATACGGCATGTTCTTAAAGCGCCTGATTTGTCATTTTGTATTAATTGTGCATTTGAACTGCTCATTTCAATTGTAATGTCCTCTAAATTTGACAATAAATGATCGATAAATGTGAAACCTCTTTCCATAACTTGATTTTATCTAAGGACTACGGATGAATACAGTAGGCAGAGGGCTGACGGCTCTTCCACGAATGTTGATCTATTGCTTTTTAAGTTATTATATACCAATACCTTAGACACGTTGACATAGTGAAATGTAATTTTGTCGATAATATAGGAAATATTGGATTAAAACAAATTAGTTCCTTCCCGTGAATATTGTTATACTTATAGTGACTCGGTAACATTGCCTCAGATTCTGAAACAAAATCCTTGATTAAGCTCATGCTGCAATCAAAATATTTTTCAAAATGATGGACATAGTACCTTCTTGATAATTTTGTTCAAGTATAGAATAAAAATTGGCCTATTTATTATTTAATCTGCAGCTTGCGTATTAAGATAATAATTACATTGGATATCGCAATAGAAAGAATAATATTGATTATGTAATTTACGAGGAATGTCTATTGATTTAGACGAGTTATGTCGTTATGGTCGTAAGCAATTTCTAGGAAACCTTTAAATCAATCGAATACGTATGGAAACGCATTGTCCTTAAACTTAAGCACCTTAAGTTTAAGGACAATGCGACACTAGTGTACCATTTGACTGCACCAGTCACTATTTCCATCACGTACTTTGAAACATACATTAACAACATATCTCATCCACACCCTCATTGGTCCCCCACACATTAATTCATCTTCTTATGTGGCTTAAACCACATTTGATTTTCGACAGGTTATTAGACGTCCGGGATATTCAGTATGGGTCTAAGAACCTTTTTGCTAAAACCAAACTTAAATACATAAATTAAAGAGTCTGGATATAAGATTCAATGAGCGATCATAGACATCAGTCACTTCGCAAAACACAGACACCACACCGAATTTATACCGACTGATTTTTTCACATTCGGGGTAATGCAAAAGACCATTTTCGTATTAAAATGTAATCAAATTTAACGTATGAATCCTTGACAAGTGCCATATTCAAAATTATTTCATTCACCTTTTATGAATAATTGTTTTGCAATAGTCGGAATACGAAATGCATACACTCGTTGTTGCTTAGTGGGACACATATTATGGATTGTCTAGCTTCGTTACAACACGTGATGTAATACCAATCGCATCATGACTATTGCAATACAATACACCAGTTTACGATTATGAGCGCCATTTTAATTTACGAGTAAAACAAAATTATGATGACATCACTGCCTGCGCGCTGCGTTGTGCGCTCACATCATATTTTGCATGGACGCAATCTTAATTTACGCATAAACCACTGACCTCTAGAGGTCATTTGGTTTGTTTACTCGTAAATAAAAATGGCGCCCATGTCTGCGCATGCGCACTGTTGTAACCATAAACTGGTGTATTATCCGTAACAGGTGAATAAAGTTATTTGTTATGAGGCACTTAAATGCATTGCATTTGATTATATTACGAAAATGGAGTGTTCATTGTTTGGTCTTTTGTTGGTCTCTGCTCAACCTCAATGGTGTGACTTAAAACGCAATTATTGATTAAGTTAAGCCTTGAGTAAAAATCGTGACATGTTTTATGTCCGTTAAACACGACCCCTGCCGTCTAAATCATCACCATTGGCCAGGGAAACTAATCCAATCGATTAGCTTTATGGCATCGACCGACCTTATTATGAGTCACGTTCACAAATTAATGAAAATAGAACGGTTTCAAACCGAAGGTAAAGAAACTGGAGTTAGGCGTCAGTGATAAAATAATCACCGACTGCGCAGCATATCCTTATGATTGCGGTCTCCTGCCCCTTTCCAACAGAATAGTTCGGATAATACTTTAAATTTATGATCATATGTTATGGAAATAATAAGTTTCGTTATTATATGTACATATATTATGTAAAAAAACATTTTGACATGAAGAAATTATTGTTTGTTTATGTTGTATTATACCTTACATGTATATTATGTTCTTTGTTATTCAGTTATATTTTATTTGGAAAAAATGCAGGAATAAAATCAAATTTAAAAAAAATCAAATAAAATAAACATGGTATAGCCATGGAGCTATCTCTCTTATATTATAGCTCCATGGTATAGCCTAGACCCGTTTCAGCTACAAGCGTGAACTGAGTTCCATTTAAAGCCCGTCTGCACTAGTTTGGCCAGGAGGGATTCGACCTCCCTGCATGGTCACTGTCAGGTGGTTATCTCATCAACTCAGCTCTCAATTAACATAAGAAAATGAGAATCATGGGGGACCAACGGGCACCGCTTAGGAATTTGTTTTTGCTATACATGCAGAGGGCGCAAGTAGCTATAAGTAGTGCAGTGGGGCTTTAAAATGAAATTTTAAACAGTTCAGGAAAAAAAGTCAAGTTGTCTACAAAAGAACTCGTATAGACTTTGAAACGTAAATGATTAATAAATGTCGAGGAAGAGAGATCGTGGGAGAGACAGAGAGAGAGATAGAAACAAGAGAGAGAGAGAGAGAGAGTGAGAGTAGACAGAAAGAGAGAGAGAGAGAGAGAAAGAGAGAGAGAGTGAGAGAGAGAGGGAGACGGGGAGTTGAGAGAGGGGGAGGAGGGAGAGAGAGAGAGAGAGAGACAGAGAGAGCGAGAGAGACAGGAAAGAAGAAGGGATGGAGAGAGAGAGAGAGAGAGAGAATGCAAAAGGCAGTGAAAGGGGGGGGGGGGTCGTTATAATGCTCTTTCCACAGATTCCTTACGTCCAAACTCTGTACCGTGGATGACAATTAATTATCAATGTGAAGTTATCTTGATCCGACTTCCATGTGTATATTTTATTGGGAAATTTCAAGAACAATAATTATTGACATCAAGAGCACATAAAATCCCTAAATAGTGCCATGTAACATCTATAATCAATGTCTAGTAGCATATCTTAAACGAATACAATGTTATGACTCATAATAAATGATTCACACTTAAAAAACGAAGATTAATCTAAGATAAACATGCCATTAAGACAATCGTAGCTAGTTTTGACAAAAATCGAATGAAGGTAATTCAATGGTTGTGTACTTCCCATTTTGAAATATGCGAGTAATATAACCCCAAACGCAAGCATTGGGTTCTCACAAATC